ATAGATACTTGAGAGAGAAGCTGGATGAATCGAGCCACCTGCATGTTAGCCAGCATGCATTTCAAAAGGGACGCTCGACAGAAACCGCTCTCCATGCATTAGTCTCAGAGGCTGAAAAAGCAATTGAGAATAAAGAATATATGATATCGACATTTATGGATATCGAAGGTGCATTCGATAATATATCATTTGATGCTATACATGACCATATCACTGAATGCAACGTGAATACTTTTGTGCGAGCATGGATAAAATTTATGCTTGCGAACAGGACTATCGCGTATTCAGAAATGGGCAAAACGATGGCAGTAAAAGCCACCAGGGGAACTCCCCAGGGAGGCGTACTATCACCACTGCTCTGGATTGTGGTCATGAATAGTTTACTCAAAGAATTACACAACAAAGGATTTAGTGCGACGGGATACGCAGATGATCTGCAAATCAGTTGCAGGGGTAAATTCCTTAGCACCCTAACCGAGGGAACACAGGCTGCCATCAAATTGGTGGAACAGTGGTGTACAAAGGTTGGTCTAATGGTTAACCCAACTAAATCAGAAACGATGATATTTACGAAAAATCGAAAATTTGAAGGATATCGTAACCCAATTCTTCTTGGTGCAGAAATCGAAAGGAAAAATGAGGTGAAATACCTTGGAATTACATTGAATTCGAAACTAAATTGGAGCAAACACGTTGAGGAAAGAATTAATAAATGTCTTAGAGTGTTCTGGAGCTGCAGAGCGGCTATAGGAAAAACTTGGGGCCTGTCGCCAAAGTGTATCCTCTGGCTGTACACGGCAATTGTCAAACCAATGTTGGCGTATGGAGCTTTCATTTGGTGGCAAGGGACCAAAAGTGCAGCAATCAGACAAAAACTCAATCACCTACAACGCGTCGCATGCATGTGTATGACTGGTGCAATGAGCACCACTCCACAAGCAGCGCTAGACGCATTACTCAATTTTCCAAAACTGGAAGACTATATCGAAGCCGAGGCCATGAAAACGGCCTACAGGCTTAGATCATTAATAAAAATTAATCCGTATTCTAGAACTACTCATAAAAGTGCAATCGAAAATCTATACAACATCGATAGCATTTTTGAAGCACCTTGTGACAAGCTAGAAAAAACAGTTTATGAATTTGACAATAATGTGAAAACCATTGTCACCGAGAACCTAAACGACTTCTGCAGAGAGTTCGAATGGGCCGATGCAGCCTCCTTCACAGATGCATCTGTGAAAAATACTGGAGGAGGTATAGGCATATACGATCAGAATGCAGGGGTCTCGATTTCTGTGTCGATGGGGACCACACCAACTGTCAAACAATTAGAAATTTATGCAATCACTTATTGTGAGAAACGCATAATTGAAAAAAAACATCCAGGGAAATATAGCGGTATTCACGGACAGCCTTGCGGCTATAAAGGCGATAAAGGACTGTACGGTTGGTAGGGCGCTGATTTGAATTTGATTTTCAGCCAATAAAGTGGACTGGATGTGGTTTTTTCGAGTTCATGTGTTCTAGAGAGTTGTTTAATTTTTCTCTGGCTATAGTTTGGACAAAGTAAAAGGGGTGAAAAAAATGTATTCCCCGCGAGTTATGGTGGAAAAACTGAAAAAATTTAGCATTTTTCGGACATTTTGCCCACTTGTATCCACCAAATGTGATTATTTTGATGAATCGTTATAAAAATTAATGAACAATGTTAAGAATTGATAATAAAGCGAAGTCAAGGCGAAACATACGATAATTTCTATGAAAATGAGAAAATTTTGATGATTTTATTGATTTTTCGACAATTCCCAACATCTCCAACTACATAGATTTTCTGATTTGTGTGGATGCAATATAAATCGCTTTAAAAGGTTTGCACTTTTTTTTTCATTGATCCACGTAATCCAAGCTAGTGCTGCTATTAATTTTCCAAAATAGCGTACACTGAGCAGAGCCCTAACGGTTGGTTATGGCATTGCTTTGGAATGTAGATCAATTTTACGACAGATTGCTTTGAACAACACAGTTCGAGTGATCTGGATTCGTTCCCACTCTAACATTCGTGGAAATGATATAGCCGACGAGTCAGCCAAAAAAGCAGCTGACATTCGTGCCATTGGGCCGGAGCCATTCCTTTCGGTGAGCTACTCACTGGTAAAGAAAGAGGCCTCAACATGGCTCAATCAACGGCAGAAACTTAACTGGCAAGGAAACTTTAGATGTGAGCAAACGAAGGCTTTCGTTTTACACCCACATGAAAAAGTGACCAAACAATTAACGAGTTTAACAAAGCAAGATACAAGAATAGCGGTAGGCCTTATCACAGGCCACGCTAAAACCTATTATCACCTCAGAAAAATGGGTTTTCGTGACGACCCTGACTGCAGACTCTGTGGAAGGGGAACGGAAACGACGACGCATATTATCTGTGAATGTGAAAGGCTCAGTGAAGTACGTAGCAGGACCTTTGGAAACGTTGTGATGCTGCCGCGAAATGCACTCGACATACACAAGATCGTAAAATATTACCACAAAGCGTGTAAACAACACCATTGCTTTAAACAAATTTTTGATATTTCATAATTTCGACTCGAACGGATCGGATTGATTACAAAAAGTACATCGATTTCAAAGATGTTACTAGCGGGCGTCTCGCAATAGACTGAATTCAGCCTGAGCGACGAGTCTTTGACTCCCTGCATTCATCCAATAATCCAATAATCCAAATAGCATTACTTTGGCTCTTCGTTACAATATTAATGTGTTACGGCAAAATGTAAATCTGTAGTGTTTTTCATTTTTACACGTTCAAGTTAGGCTATATTGGACCGTTTACATTTCGGCTACCTAAGCATTTCCATGTATCGGTTAGGTTATCTTGTGTCAATGCTTTTAAGCCCAAATTTGATACCAATCAAGAGAGATTATTATAACCATTTATTGTATAAAATTACCATATATTGTAAAAATACGAAAAGATCAGGTTTTTCATGACTCTTGGAGTCATTTTCCTGCAAAACTGAATATTCAGCCAGTTTTTTGGCGGTGTAAAATAAATAAATATTGTTAAGAAACCGGCTCTATACTGAAAAAAATCAGTATATGAAAAGAAAATAGTTATTAGCTTTAATATATCCTGTACATAATGGCACCGAAGCGCCAACTGGTGCTAGCAAGTGTACTACAAGCTTTGAATATGCACTTTTTCACTCTTGTGTTGATGAATTTGACATTGATTTTGACATTGTGTTTGTAGTACACTTGTTGGCGGCAGTGATGAGAAATCCCAGCGATTGTGTGGCTCAACTTAAATACGATTTAATAGATTAGTGAGTTTCTCGTGCGCTTGTGTTTGAGCTATTGAATCATGCCGTTGCATGAATTGAAAATCATAGCCAGTCGTCAATTGCACTTGCTAACTTGGAACAGCAGCCAACACATAGCATTGCAAACTCATTTTGTGCTTCATTCTGAATAGAACCATTTGTTCTACTCATAAAAGAAGAGTCAGACTTTTCTCAAACTTTTTAATCAATTTCAGCCTGAAAATCAGGGTTTTTTAGAAAAACCCGATGGAAGCATTACATAGGAAGCATAGTGTTGGTCGAAATCAAATACAGGGACTGTACAAATCATTAGAAACAGTGTGTTCCGGATTATTTCTAAATTTTGAAGGCAAAAGTACGACACACTAACATTAGGTGTTTGTTAATTTCGAAGAAACAAAAGTAGTTTAACCTTCAAACCGTAAAATGTATTTTCTAACGTTGTTCGTAAAATCGGTGCCCATAATGTATTTTATATGGGAAATGTCAGTTTTTTTCTTAAATTTTTTTTTAAATGTAAATATTTCAGTATTTATTGATCGGAAAAGTATGAAAATTACTTTGAAATGTTATAAAAGTCATGAAAAATCGAAATATGAAAGACATCAGAAGTTTCTTGGAATTTTTTTCAATAAAGTGGGAATTGCAATGTTGATCTCTTCACAAAAATGAAGGCAAAAACATAGCTCTGTGACGCTAGCCCCAACCGGTTCCAAAATTTAAATCCGAGCACGGTTTCGTGTTCTACGCAATTTCTGCTGATTACTGCTCGCTCCGCAGAATTTCTGCTGCAACCAGTGACGAGCAGTAATTGCCCAAAATTTCGAAAAAATCCATCAAAATCGATTTTTCGCATATTTGAAGGTTTTGCCCCAAAAATAAATTCCAAACTAAATTTTCCCTTTAATTTCTGCCCGCTCCCCACAATTCCTACTTCAACCGGTGACGAGCAGTAATTGCCCAAATTTTCGAAAAATCCATGAAAATCGATTTTTTGCATATTCGAAGGTTTCACGCCATCAGTCAATTCCAAATGAAGTTTTCAATATTTTGATGACCTGGTGGCTGATATTGAAAGGTCCAGATGCCCACTAATTTCTGCTCGCTTCTCAGAGTTCCTGCTTCAACCAGTGACGAGCAGGAATTCGACGAAAATTGGAAAAAAAATGTATGAAAATCGATATCACAGTGCAACAAAGTTTAGGTAGGTCCATGTCACCAGCACCGCCAGTGCTGTTAAACCATAATATGTTATAATAAGTGCTCGAATAGTGCTGGCAGATACCACTTCCAGATTGCAAAAATCTTGTCTAGTGGCTGAGCACTGATCGTCAATATTTTTGAAAAAGTAGTTTTTCGGTACATTCCCATGACAAGTACATGAAATCGAATTTTTTTCGTATCAATGTAGCTCTATGACTCCTGTTCGGAAAAGTGAATCGCTGTTTTACAATTGAGTCATGAAGTGAGTCACAATATAATAACTCATAATTGAATGAGTCATAATCGGAAAGTCATGACTTTCTGTTTTGCGCACCAATACTGTACGTAGAATTTTCATGATTTTTTGAATTTTTCACGCATTCAATGAGTCATATTCATATCTAATGTGACGAGACCATTTTGGTGAATAAATAGGAGTTCGGAGTCAAAAATATAGGAGAATATAGGACATCCTATATTTTTTCGGTCGAAATATAGGACTAGTTAAAAATTACAAAAAAAACACCAAATTCGATTAAAACAAGAACATCTTGTGTGCTACTGATAGATAAAGTGTATGGAGTGTTTATTCATAGTTCAGAGATCAAATATTTGCTTATGAAAATTTGAATGATATCGATTTGGTCGCATTTTTCAATTATTCAAACGTGGTATTTCGGATCAGCTTGAACCTGAAAAAAAGAAAGAAAACATTATTATTGAATAAGCTTGGATTTATTCAATGCATGTTACCTCCCGCAAAATATCTTCGCGGGTACGAATGTATTCAGCGAATTGTTCACAAGTCATGGTCATGTTGAATTTTGCTTGCAGCCAGCTCTTCAGTGTGTCGATTGTGAGTCGAGATTTCTTGTCGGTCCAGTAGTTGGTTACTAATGAAAAAAGCCGTTCACACACCAAGTTTGCACCTATCACAATTTAAGAAAAAAAATAAGTATATCAAAATTTCAGTTTTTACTTATCAATAAGTAACTCAGCACCTGGAATAGTGAACGCATATTCAATCAGAATGGCAAAGTTGTTGAATGGAAGATCTTTTGTTCGCAAGAACGCGAAAACATCAAGCCAACGCTGTTGAGCGGATACATTTTCTCCTTTCCATTTTGAAATTGAAAATTCAATAAATGTTTCAAGTGAGCATATTCTGCGTGGATTTCCTTTTCCTTTGACGCATCGATAAATTTCTTCGCGATGAGATCGTCCACGCATTCTTCAACTTCGTCCCACTTTGGCATCGACTTCATAGCGACCCATCCCCATTTCTCAATTGGAGAAAGCCATTCCAACCACTTGGTCAGATATGCAAGAGTATTTTCTGTAAAAAAATAAAACAGTACTTGAGTAACTCAACTTAATTTCATTTTAAAGTAAATGCAAACTTGCCATGAAACTTTT